TGCACACTGGTAAGATTCCCTCTAAATCTTTTCTTCTGCAGCTAAACAGCCCCAGCTTTCTCATCCTCTCCACGTATGACAGATTCTTTTTGTAGCAAGACCTTAATGAGTGGAGTGGAGTGGAGTGGAGTGAAACTTACTTGAATTTATTTGCCTCCAGCCTCTCATGATTGCTCTTTCTCAAAGCAAAATTGTTTATTGATATTAACAAGAATTATAATTCTTCACCATTTTGTATACCATAATCAAATCACTTTTTTCAGTCTTTCTCCTTTGGGTAATTCGTTTCATTGCTTTCTTTACAAAGGTCTTCTTTATAGCCTACTGCTGTTCTTTTTTCTCCAGATTTCCAGCATGTCTTTAAGCACAGGATCATCTTCAGGAGTCTCCTGTAGGTCGTCAACCTCAAATCACCCAGTCCGTCTTCCTGTACTCATACTTAAGCCACCAGGAATCTTGTTAGCTATCTTTGACAGAGATCTCTCTACCTTGTCTGTCTGCCCCTATTTAACCTTGCACAGGATCTATTAGCCTTTTTTGACAGATCATCACAAAGAGAACTCACACGATCTTGTGTGTCCTCCATGTCTTACAAAGCTCTACAGGAATCCTTTTGTAAGAATTCCTTTTTTCCTCTGTGCTTCTGTCTAAGGCATTTCTACCGCCTATGAGAAAAATTATATTGTTTGAATATATCCAACTTACCAAGTTATCCAGATCTCTTCTGTAGGAATGGCCTGCTTCCGTTGCTACTTGCAGTTCTATTCATGTTTGAGTAAGATGGAGGTTTTTATCTGTAGTAATTTTCTCTGTCTTTAAATCACTGATGGAAATGTTGACCAGTTTCTATTCTACTGATCCATGCAGAAACTCACTAATCACTATCAGCCTACCAGCATCAACAATCCCTTCTACAGCAATGTCCTGGGGTCTCTCCAGCCCATTTATCTGCATCAGTCTCTAAAGGACCCCAGTGCAAGCCCATGGACAGAGAGGCAGCCTCTGCCATGACAAGATTTTCCTGAAACGACCACAGGCTTCGTCATGCCTCTGTTCTCCCACAACAAACAGCCCCTGCCAGGCATTTTATTATGTTACATAAAGAGCCACATAAAAGAGCCACATAAAGAGCACAAAGGCAAGTGCTTTGCTCTATTTCTAGAACAAGGCAGGTGCTGCAGTGCCTAGAAACTGCCACGGAGCTACTGCGCCCAGGAAGTGAGTGGGTGCTTCACACGTGGAAGGCAGTGACAGTCAGTGCCAAGAAGCAGCAGATGTTTTCAGGCCTTGCGGAGGCATGAGGAGAGGGCACTAAGTGGCAGGAAGCCACGGGGTAGGCAACCTGGCTCCTGGTGGCAGAGAAGCCGTGCTGTGGGGGCCTGCCACTTGGGTTACTCATCACGGCCTCTTGCCTCCAGCCCGCTGGAGACATGCTGAGATGCCCCACGCTGGTAAGGCCCTCACAGAGTGACACCAGCCCTCCTTCCTTCCACACAGTGCGCGCTCTAGGGCTTCACAGCAGCCTCGTCCAGCCGCCAGGGGCGGTCGACATAGTGCAAAACCCCGCTGACAGGACCTCGCTTGGCGGGATCTAGGGCCAGCAGGCTGCGCAGCATGAGGGCAGCCTCAGCTGTCAGGCGCTTCCAGTGGCGCGGCAGGGCGGCCTCCAAGCCTGTCTCCTGCCACAACATGAAGTCCTCAAAGAAAGGGTCTTCTGGCAGACTCTGCTCCCAGGGGAAGTAGCCGGTCAGCAGGCAGAAAAGGAGTACGCCAAAGGCCCAGGCATCCAAGCTGGTGTCGATGGGCAGCCCCTGCGCATCGGTGGTGTTGCTCAGCTCCGGGGCTGTGTAAGGCAGTACCCCAGCCACCAGCTTGAGCTTGGTACCCTTAGGCCGTGTGAGCCCAAAGTCAGTCAACTTGATACACCGACATTCGGGATCAAAAAGCAGCACGTTCTCAGGCTTGACATCACGGTACACGAGTCCTCGGCTGTGGATGAAGTCCAGTGCACTCGCAAGCTGCTTGGCACAGTGCTTTGCAGCAGGTTCAGGGATTCCATCCTGCACAGGGACAGACAGAAGTGACATTGCACACACATGGCACCTTAGCACACCTACCAGCTGGCATCTCACTTCTTTCCTCTGCTTTACAAAAGGCCTTGGCATTTCTGGCCCTGCAAGGTTGAAGCTGCTTCAAAGCTGTAGTGCCCTGAGGTGAAGAACCCATTTCCCATTGCTTTTCCTCTCTCCCTCTGACCCAGACAGTCTGCACAGGGGCCAAGTGGCACAGTCCTACTTCCCATGCCCATGTAGCAGCACTCACCCGTGGTTTGATGATAGAGATGAGGTCTCTGTGCAGCGCTGGTTCATAGAGGAAACCATAGTACTGGCTGGACTCAATTGCAATTCCAAACATCCCGATGATAGCAGGGTGGGTGGCAAGGGAGAGTGCCACACAATACTCATACAGAAAAGTGTACAGCTTGGTACTGGCTTTGGGTAGCAACTTAAGAGCCATAGGAGTCCCTGCAGATGGGGAGAATGTGTTAGATGCCCCCTGAAAACCACTCACAACAAGACCAGATAGAGAAAGCATTGGGCAGCCATGGGGCAGGAACTCCCAGCCACATGGAAGTCTCTGGCCTGACGCTCTGTACAGATGTTGAAACTGGCTATGAAAATGGGCACTGCTACCAGCCTGAGTTCGAGCCAATCAGTGCACAGCACAGGACTGGGTAGAGGAAGGGGAATGCAGGCTGAATAAGCTTCTAAGTTTGACCAGGGACTACCAGGGAGAAGTGATGTCAGGGCCCTGAGTGTACTAACAGTTCTTGCTGGCCCTAACAAGCACACGGGTGCTGCAGCCAGCTCCTCACCTCGCTGCCTGTGGGTCACTAGCACCACGTGACCGTATTTGCCCCTGCCCAGCTCCCGAATGACCTCGTAGTGCTCGGCCACCTCCATGCGCACCAGGCTCTGGGCCGTGATCTGCAGGAGCTCGTCTAGCACTGCTGGTGTTGTTGTCACTGCCACTGCTGCTGCCGAGCTCTTGGCCATTGCTGAGTGCTGCAGAAAAAAACACAGAGAGCACAACACAACAGGTCACCCCTGCCCCAAACCATGCCACCATGCCATGGTAACTCTACTACATCAAACCTGAGCACTCTCACAGAGAAGCTGGAGTTGAGCTAGTGCTTTTGTACACCTTTGGGCAAGGTCCCTCAGCGTATGCAAGGTCCATGCATTGAAGGGGACCTGCAGCCAGTTGCTTGTGCAGTTGTTCCTCTGACTGTAGTCCCTAGTACCTCTCATTTCAAAGCTCAGGACCATTTTTTCGGTCTCTGTCATAAAGCTTGGTCTTCTAGGGCTCTTCTTATTCTGCACTCTGTGGCATAAGAGCAAAACATTCGTAGAATCTCCGATCATGAAGCATGACCCAGCCCTTTTGCTCTCATTAGCCTGTTGCAAAAAGACCACCTCTCTCCACACTGAAATGCAGAACTGGTGTCTAGAGAAGAAAGTGCTTGATGTACCAGCACACATAGGCTTGTCCCTTAGGCAGAGGCACAGCTAGCCCATGACGAATACCAGATTACTAATCCGAGGTAGTGTGCTCTGAGCAAGCCAAAGGGAGTTCAGTGCCTCACATGCCTGCTGACATTTCTGACTGAAAGTCACTCATCTGTTCAGCCAAGAAACTGGGGCAGAAAGGAAGCTCAGACATTGGTGGCATTTGGAGCAAGAGCCAGCTGCTTCAGACCCATTTCAGAGAAACGTTTTTTCAAGACTCTCTAGCTAGGAATAAGGCAGCTTTTAAAGCAACTGTGCCAGCTCTCCCCCAACTACCTCCCTGTGCTCTGAACATAGTCACTTAGTTACCCTGGGCCTGGGAGCCCATTCTTGCATCAGAACAAGGATACAGAGTCAGAAAATCACAGAATAGCTGGAGTTGGAAGGGTGCTCTGGAGATCTAGCCTAGTCCAACCCCCATGCTCAGAGCAGGGGCAATAGGGCAGGTTGCTCAGGGCCGTGACCTGTTGAATTTTGCATTCCTCCACGGAGGGAGACTCCACAGCCTTTCTAGGCAACCTGCTCCAGTGGTCAATCACCTATACATCATTTTTTTTGCTTACATTTAAATGGAATTTCTTGTATTTTGATCTGTGCCCATTGCCCCTTTTCCTATCACTACCACTGAGAAGAGTCTGGCTCCATCTTCTTTATAACCCCCCATCAGGTAGCTATGCACGCTGGTAAGGTCCCCCTCAGCCTTCCCCCTGAGCCTGGGCTCAGTAGTCCCACTTCTCCCAGCCTTTCCTCGTATGAGAGATGCCGTAGTGCCTTAATCGTCTTAGCGGCCCTTTGCTGGACTTGTTCCAGTAGCTCCATGTCTCTCTTCCGCTGGGGGGCACAGAACTGGACACAGTGCTCCAGGTGAGGCACCACCAGTGTTGGGTGGGAGAGATCAGCTCCCTCAAACTGCTGGCAGCACTCTGCCTAATGCAACCAAGATGCATCCCAAGATCCTGAGGACTGCATCATTCTTAGATATATCTTACTAGTATGGAGCAAGAGAAAGCTCTGGTATAAAACCAGTGGCTCAGCATCTACAAATTCAGGATTTTTTTCTATGACTCACATGATGACTCCCCCCTTCTAGGGTTAGAAGCAGGACCTCATGTTGCTGACTTTAAAGGCAGATGGCACTCCAGGAATACAAGTGGGAATTGCCTTAGGTTTTATATTGCTCTATTTGTAACCAGAGATTATTGTACTTCCTTCAACTTCCAGCCTCCATGGCTGCTAAATCTGGTCACAGAGAGTAATTTTGTAACAAAATAATTTAAACCTAGGAAAATTACAGAAAGACCAGATTTGTATAAGAGCCCCAGAGCATTTGCGAGAGATTTCTTTTTTTTTTTCCCCTTTTCTCCTAGATTGCACTACCAAATGTCATCTACACCTGTGAATGTCAAGTAATTGACTCTAGTTTTCTGAAAAGTCTTTGGCTTGCTATGAGAGGCAGCAGCAGGCAGAGTTTGGATAGTCCATAGGGAGTGCAGCATTGGACCAGTACATGCATAGGAGGGGATAAATGAAAGATCAGGAAGACACCACGGTGAAAGCCCATCTGGAAAATATTTAGAGATTTCACTTTGATGTTCTCCTTTTTGCTGCTCAGCCACCACAGTATGCAAAATTCCACATAACAAGTGCACCACAGAGCCTGTCAGTGGATCGACTCTGCTGCTGATATTTGCAAACCAGTGTTGTCACATCTAGGAATTAAAAAAACAAATCTGAAAATGGTTTTTTAAATTTCCTAGTTAGGGATGTAGAGAAGAGCTTAAAGTTTAACAAACCTTTAAAACACACATCCCCTCCCCCTGCCTCCTTGATATTAGATAGGCTACAGTTACACCAAATATGAAATAGAACAACTAGAAAGATGTCTTCTTGCATTGTACAGAATAAAATAGATCTGTATGTGTGATAAAACATAAAAAGAAGATCTCTACTGTAAGATACTATTTCTGCTATATCAAATTCATGGTCATGTACAAGTTCTTGTCAGCAGATGGTTCATGATCTTCTCAGATAACTTAATTTCTTAAACTTAAGTTAGATAAAATATCTTCCCTCATGGGCTGACCACCTGTTAGTGATATCTAACCCAAAGGTTAGAATCTTATTGCTGCATCCACTTAATTCATCTTTCAACAATGATAAAACTTTCCAGTATTTATGTGCTGATTAATTAGTTCTTATTTGTAGGGTATTATTTACAATATGATTCATGTATTATCTGCTTGTTATTGTGAGTGGAAAAATACACTTTTCTGTTTATTCTTGATTCTCACCCTAGTTTTGGGAGTCAACACATTTCCATCCATTTAGAGTTAAAAGAAATCCCCAGGTTCTTGTGTCCTCCCACTTTACCTTTCAGGTTCCTTACTTTCAGGAATGGGTTGTCAGGACACAGAGCAGAGAACCAGAGTGAAATAACCAACTTGGGAAAAACAGATCAGCCAGAGATTATGGAGAGAATAGGAGGGCCAATTTACTGTCCTCTGTATCCAGTAAGGAACCCATACAAAGGCTGCCGTCACTCCAGTAAATTTTCCGGGATTTGACTGCCCTTGAGGAGAGTGATTACAGAACTCCATATCCCAGGAAATGACCAAAGTTTCCAGGTCAACACAACTGCCACAACTCCGGGGTAGCATGGAAGTTAAACTGTGTTTGTGGGCACTCTGCACTCTACCCTGTTGCTTTTTTCAGGGCTCTTTGCCCAGTGACAGGCCCCGGGAAGTAGGAAATGGCCAGGAGGCATTCACCATCTGGCTGTGGTGTATCCAAGGGGCAGGCTGGATCCTTTTCAAACCTGGTCCTTCCCCCACTAGCCTTTTGCTTCATCCCCGCTACAAATCCTGGTTCCTGGCTGCCACTGTGTAAGATATCCTCAGTTCCCTGAAAGAATCCCTAGTTACAGTGTCCCTAGATCCCTAAGTACATAGAAAGGTACAGTGGCACCAGCTCCACAGCACTGTAAGGATGAAAACCCACACAGAGACTTAGAATCATTTCTCAGCTTGTCTTTGTGCTCATCAGAGATGGAGGTATGTTAGTATGGGAGATAGCTGAGCCTTTCTTGTCTTCTGGCCATTGCTTGTTCTCACCAGTCTTGCATCTAATACGTCCTTTGCACAACCCACGATAGTGCGCAGCCTTCTCCACTTGTGCCAAGCAAAAGGAAAGTTTGAGGCCAAATGATAGACAGCTCACCAGGAATTTCATATCCTTTCAACTGCCAGGAAATGCCCCCAACCTCCTGAGGGAGGCTAACCATGAGCGTATGGTGGGCAGGGACCATTTTCCAATCTGATCTTCTGCAGAGCAGAACTACAGCTTTGGGGCATGTCTTCCAAAAGAAAATGATGCAAGCTTGTTCCAAATACAAGCTTTGGTCTCCTGGAAAAGCTAGTGTTAACGTCCTTGCTGTTATGTATTTATACCATATCCTAATTTGAATTTAGTACCTGCTGCTCAACTTTCTTAGCTAGAGAAAAGTGTCTGTCAGAACCTCATATTTTCCTCCCAATTGCTCTAGGGTTTATATGCACTGTGCTCAGAGGCATGACATAGTTTAAGCTACTTCAATTGCCTAAAAGTAGTAATGTGCAACCTGAAACAGCCTATGAATTTAACTGACTGCTTACATAAGGTTTGAAAGTCAGGAGACTGTGCTTCTGTAGCATCCAAATTAGTTTACAGGTATGTAGGATATATTTCTAGAAATTATAGTCATATTTGGAACTTGAGAATAAATATCTTCATACCCTCTGATCACGACACCTCCCAGTCTTCTTACTGGTTACACTCCTTCGAAGTACTTTCTGTCCAGTTCTCAGATCAAGGCCTTTTGTCCAGCTCTCAGACCCACTCTCTGGCTCTTTTCTGAACTCTCGCTACTTTTCCAGCCCCCATTTTAGGTCACTGACTTCTCCGAGGGTTGTGCTGTGAGACTCTGAGTGAGAATCTCCCCCTGCGCTCCTGCTGTGACCACTCAAGGACCTCTTTTTGCAGGGGGCCTGCAAAGTCTTACTCACACTGAGGACTCATACTCATATTTCCAATAAGACTCCAGCATTTTTTTCAAAAAAAACTATTTTTCAGAGTACATACAGTTCCTCTTCACATGCCTTTCTAAATATTACCTGCCTTGTTCCTAGCTGAATACTTTTCCACCATCTTAAATAAGGCACATTTTGTATCAGTGGTCTTAATATATCAAGCAATGCTGATCACTCAGTGTCTCTGTTGTTAACAACCACCACCTGCATCTCTGTTTAAGGGCTGTGTAAGGATTCCATCTGCAGGGATTTTCCACTAACCTCCAGTCATTAGTAATGGTTCATCTATTATCTGCCGTAAACGTCCTATGCAGAGAATATTCCCCTGAAAACTATTTTTACAAATTAATCCTGGCCTTCATGAAAATCTGTAAACTACACCTTTTAAAGGGATTTAAAAATCAGCAAATTTGCAATAGTCAGT